TTTGTCCTGATACGCAGATTAAAGTAGACCTCAATAATGATGGAAGAAATACGTGCTTGTACGTAGAATACGTCCAGCTAAATCGTTTCTCAGAGTTTAGCCGTAAGATTGAAGTTAAGCGTAGGTTGTCCCAAGACATTACGAAATCGTTAACTAAACTTAAAATAATCCAAATTCCAGTACATTCGTATAAACAGTTAAGATGGTTCTGATGCTGGAAACGCTCTTGTAAGCCAAAACATAAAGAAAAGCTGTTGAGACACAGTTAGCTACGATAAACACATAAGACTCTCACAATCTAGAAGTATCTAAAAGTGAACCACAAACGAGTTTCCTCCAAAAGCTATTGGCATCTTTTCGATGTTTTCTTTTCGTTTAACCTTTGATTGTTGGCTAAAATTAACATAGAACGGGGCCCCGAACTTTTCTCAAAAAAACATATTTCTTTTCTTGGTGGTTTATTAACCCTTTGATAATTTTCACGATAAGTCCCTAAAATGATCCCTTAAGCATTTTTTTACACACTGTTAAGGTTTAGTAAATACCATTGATATGTTTTACTCCCCAAAAACGAACCCACAATAATAGAAATAGGAAAATCCTCTCCTACAAGCAAATCGAAGTACTGAAAGAATATCAGGGAATATGTCCCGTCATAATCAGTTCTATCGATGGCAGGGGAAATTCCTGAACGAATGAAATACCGGTTAATCAAATATGAATAAATGTCGCTCGAGTAAATATCAAATGAAAACAATGCCAATCAAACAAACATCAAATAGATCCCAAACATATCCTAAAATTCGTCCCAACATAATATTAAAACTTGCATGGACAAAGCGATAACATCCTCAGAAAGGTACCATTATTTTATATTAGTATATATTGTTTACAATGCAACTTTCTTCCTCTATTCCTATTGTTCATAAATGATCTCTACTTGCAAAAATACTTGCTATTCAGTTTGAAAGAGTTTTTCTGCCTAATTTATGTGCTTAAGACAAACGATCTCTATATCACAAGCTAAATTCCGTTGTGTCAATGGAAAATGTGGTGCAAAACTAAAGTTCGTATCTAGCTGCCCCTTCTTTTCTCGAAAACACACTGATTATTGCACCAGACCGAAACGAGAGGGATGTATAAACCCAAAATGCCCAGGAACTATACCTTCCTGATAAATTATATACATTAAGACAGTAAATTATTCCGCCTTGTTTTAAAAGAGTCTATTGGATAAAGATGACCTTGTTTGATTGTGGGCCAAACAGATCTATCCTGCGCCCTTTTTTCGAAAGCCAATCGACCTTACTTCAGTATCAAAGGCTAATCAATGTTCTAACTTATTTTTGATAAAAGTGCTGTTTCAGTGCTTCCGAATATAAAAAACCCTACAAAACCGAAATCAAAATTTATACAACCTGCTGAGACAGTTTAGTAAGTTCTTGATTA